AGGGGGGGGGGCTTATTATATAACCTGCTCCATAACAACCAAATAACCGAAAATAACCGTAAATAATCGTAAAACGCCCGCCTTCTTTTATTTTACTGCTATTTACTATTTCCTACACTATAACGACGTTTTTTATTGGTTTTTTTATTATCCAGATAAAGCAGCTTTCTATTTCCGACTATTAAACTACACTATTTACGGAAATAAAGCTCTTAATTAATTAACCCTTATTATACCTCGTAGTGCCGCTAAGTAATAGTTTTTTACTATCTATTCAAATATTACTTCCTCCCTTCCGTTTTAAGCAGTTAGAGCCTCGCTATTATATAAGTTACGGGTATAAATACACACCTTAACCCTATAGAAAGCGACGATACTAACCGTAATTCGTAGTATACCGCCCGTACCCTCCGACTCCCTTATCGACTCGTAGGAATCGCGGTCCCCTACGCCCGACGACTCGCCCGCCGCCTCGCCTAATACTGCCTCCGTCACTACCTTACCCGCCCGTACGCCCGCCCGCCCGCCCGTATATAATACGGCCTCCTTATCCCGCACGCGCGTTTAGGAAACGATACCTATAAAGGACGGCCGTATAGTTAATCGTAGTAAGGTTCTCGACCTTATATATAATAGCAGCGGGTCTAAAGCTACCGGGGCCCTTAATACTATATGCGTTATTCGGGTAGGTTACTAACTTATATACTATCTTATATATTATTTACTAACCGATATTATTAATATAGACTAAATAGGACCTCTTATTAAGGGAGGATAAAGACCTTAACCTTAGTCGCCCGGCTAATTAAGAGGCCGTTATAATAACGATTATCGGCGACTTCTAGATAGACTATAAGCACTATAGTAATAAAGACGGTCCCTTCGCCCGTTACTATATATTCTCGGGTATCGTTAGCGGTAGCTATAATAACTACTACTTTAATTCGGAAGGCCGTAAATATTCGTACCGCCCGGCCGCCGCTGCCGCTAATAATAATACTACCGCCACTATTACTCCCGCTTCTTCTAAGGGGAAAAAGCGTGTAAATAAGACCGTAAATAAGCTAATAATAACCGTAATAAATACCGACCTATACTAATTAATTAATCTATAATACTATAGGAACTATAACGCCTTCTAAGAAGGTAAAGACCTTCAACTATAGCTACCGCTCCCGCTCCCGCTCCCGCCCCCCCCCTCCCCCCCCGACTATTATAACTATCGCCGGTGCTTCGGGTATAAATACGGCTACCGCCACGTCCGCTATACCTACGCCCGCCACGCCCGCGCCCCTTACCCCGCCTATAATAAACTTCGGTAATATCGAAATACTAGCCGTGATACTCCTTGCCGGTATAATAATAGCGTAGAAGAAGTAGTTAATATAATACTATAAGAATATAATCGCTGCCCTAGAGAATAGTATCCTGGCGGAGAATTAAGACGGCTTTTTTTTTTTTTGCTTTACTATTTTATAAAGGGTTTACGATTATTTTATTTTTATATTTACGGTACGGCGGAAATAGGTAGTTTACTTCGTTACTTCGTCTACCCTTGATATAGGCTATATAATAAAGAAACCCGATCGCGTTATCGATCCGCTAGTTATTATAGTAGACTACTACGACCGTAGAAGTAACCGTTAAAAAGAATCTAATAAGACCTTTAGGTATACGATATTAGATATACTCCGGCTAACCTACGGCTAAGCCTGCCCACCGCCCTAACCGTTATCGGCCTATAATAAAATAAACAGATTCCTAATATCCGTAACCCTCGATATCGTAATATAAAACTAACCGTGAGTAAAGGCGTACTACCGGAAATCCACGCCGATTATACTAAACGACTAGCCCTACGACTTATTAATTATTATTACGAAATAGAGCCGTAGCGGGAATTAATAGCGGCGGATAATATACGGGTAGTTTTCCTTATTAGAATCTACGCAGATATAGGGGATAAACGTAACCTCGCCGGCGTATAATCCTAATAGGACCTTTACCTCTAGCGTATTCCGTGCTATCTGTAAAATAACTATACATATACCATTATATAAACCCTACCACGGGCTTAGGTTCCGTATAAGTATAATAGGGACGCTAACCTTTAGCTTAAGACGTATTAGCGGGATAAAAGCGAATTATAACTATATTAAAATCTCCGGGGCTAGATCCGGCGTAGGGCTATTAGTATCCTCTACCCGATTAGTAATCGAATTTTCGGCCCGGTAAACGCGCGACTAACTAGGTAGGCGCCCGAGTATCTAGCTATTCATCTCCGTGATGGTAGTATTACAAGTTATTAGAATAACGCGGTTAATAAAGACTATATAGTCCGATAGCACTCAATCTAGTAAATTAGTCGGGTAAATACGCCCGTAAAGACGGACGATATCGTAAAGAGTTATAATAGTAGGGAAAAGGTTAATAGACCCGTAAAGAGTAGTATTATAGGAGAGATCCCGTAACCACTAAATAAATACCTAATTATTAGGATTAGTAGAGGTAACCCGTATATTCTCTGTTAGGCTAAGGATACGGAGTTATAGCTAGATAGAGGACCGCTAAAAGCAGGTATATATAATCTACGCCCGACTACTATTCCGAATAACGGGTAGGATTTAGGTAAAATCGCCTCCGAAAATAACCGGAATACCGCTAAATAGATTATCGTAGCTTAGTATATCCCGTATCGTATAATTAACGGCCTCGAAATAGAACTTATACTATATAAGGACCTCGTCCTAAATAATAAAAGTAATCTCCCGTAATAGCGTTATAAGGTCCGAATTCTTTAGCACGCTATATATAGAGGAGTTATTAACCTATAAAGGGATCTTCAACCGCGAATAAGCTATATAGCCACCCTTAAGAAGAACCGCCGCGATACTAGAGGACGCTCTATAGAGGATAATCTAGCCGCGCGACCGGACATAGGCGTAGAAACCACGGTATATAAAGGTCTTACCCGTGCTATTAGGTCCCTATAAGAAGAAATAATCGCGGCGAGACTTAACTAAAGCTATAACCTAGCTAAAAACGGTAGCCTATCCCTAGTTAAAGCGGTAGTAAATATCTTTTAATACTATAGCCTAGATATCGTGATTATAAGTCTCCGTAACTAATAATATATTACCGGTCGCACAGCGCTAGTTATATAAAGGCCCCGGTAGCCTAAACTCCGTAATTATCCTGCTTACCTCGAGGAGCCGCGAGTATATAAGATAAAGACCGTAATCGATATACAGGCGTTCTAAATTAGCAGGATATTAGAAGCACTAGTGCTATAGCGTATAAGGCAGGTTATCGTATATAGACTCCGTAAACCTCTCCTAGATTAATAATAGACCGGAAACGTCTCCGTGGATTAGAGCGATAATAAATAGCTCCCGTAATACACGCCCGGTCTTCTAAATAACGGCCTCCTTAAAATAGGTAACCTAGTAACGGTTATCGTGTAAAAGCCCGGCCGTAACGCAGGCCTCGCAGTAGGTATCGTAGATAGTCCCCTCCACGGTATAAAGATCCGTAAAGGAAGTCGGCCCTCGAATAAAGACTAAGAGTAACCGTAAATAGTACGCCTCTCTAGCCGTTAGGGGTATATACCGTAGACGGCCGATCTAAAATCCACGCTACCTCGGCTACTAAGCAAACTATTACGGTTTCCACGTATAACGGCTAGGAAACTAGTAATAGAATAACTCGCGGCTATTAACGTTATCACGGTTATAGTCGAAAAAGCCTATTAGCTAAGTTTTCCGGTCC